TAATGATTATGACTCAAAAACCTTTGAATATTATGCTACTTCAAACAGCTATAACTAAAATATACCCATGGCATATATATATGGCTATATATGATATACATATGGCTACTTAAAAAATAGTCATAACTTGAAAAATTGAAGTCGGAATCGGCTCAAACTTTCTACACAGCATAAGTACATCAATATGTATCAGAAAATGTAATAAAAATTGGGGGTGATTTTTTAGCCATTTTTTGGAAAAAATCATGGGCTATAGTACAATAATTTTTTCAGATTTTGGCCGATTTTTAAAAATGGTCATAACTTTGCAAATTTAAGCCGGAATCAGCTCAAACTTTCTACACAGCATTAGTACATCAATATGTATCAGAAAATGTAATAAAAATGGGGGGTGATTTTTTAGCCATTTTTGGAAAAAATCATGGGCTATAGTACAGTGATTTTTTCAGATTTTGGCCGATTTTTAAAAATGGTCATAACTTTAAAAATTTAAGTTGGAATCAGCTCAAACTTTCTACACAGCATAAGTACATCAATATGTGTTAGAATATCTAATAAAAATTTGAGGGGATTTTGGAGCCATTTTTAGTACAGAGATTTTAAAATAGCCATAACTTTAAAAATTTCAAATGAAATCAGCTCAAACTATTTATACAGCATAAGTACATCAAGGTGATTGGCTCTATAATTTTAACTTTAAAAACAATTCACTTACCAGTAACAAGTGCTGGAGTTGATGTAGCATTCTCTTCTATACCTTTAGCAGTAGCTACACACCTGTACATACCATACTCCTCATAACTGATAGACTCCAGTGTTAATATGTAACTAGTTTCATCATCTAACGGCTCAAAGTACCCACTGGTTCTATTCATCACTTCCCATTGATAGTTAGGGGCTGGGAAAGAATCAGCACGACAAGTTAATGTAACAGTGTCACTGACATTAGTAAAGGCTTCCCTTGGGTCCTCTGTGATGACTGGTATAACATAAAGTGTTGTAGTGTTGCTCTCCACTCCAGCAGCATTTACCACATAGCAAACATAATTACCACCATCTTCAGTAGCATTGATAGAGTATAAAGTAAAAGTAGGCCCATTGGATAATGTAATGCTTGATAGCTGATTGACAATGTCATCTACTGCAATCGGAGACTCAGAATTAAGAAGTGAGCTAACTGAAGGATTGCTGGATATTAGAGAATCAAGAGCTGATGGTCTCAGCCATATGAATGTATTATTGGGTCCTCCTCTGGATAGACAATTGAATGTAACGTCAGAACCATTTCCAGTTATGATGAAATCAGGATCAATAGTGACACTGCTATTGGATGATACTATGAATGGAGAGAGAGGTA